CGTAGCCCTCCTCCCAGGCTGTGTGGCAGCGCTGCCAGCCTGGCCAGGGGCTTGGGGACAGCACGGTACCTGTGCTGTGCCTCGGCTGGCAGCTCACACCCATCGCTGTGGCCACTGGAGCCATCCCCCTGGGCACGGGCAGGGTGCAGGCAGCCCACAGTGCCGGCAGGGTTCCCCAGCAGAGAGCGGTGGGTTAGGAAACAGCCAGTAAAATAGGCCGAGTGCCCATATTTTCCATCTGCAGCCCCAGGCTGGGATGTCACCGGCCATCCCAGGCTGTCACTGGCTGTCCTTCACTGGGTGAGCCCGTGGGAACAGGCAGCAGGAAGTGGGGCAGAGCAAAAGCTGTTTCCAAATGTTGGTGAGAGGCAGCAGGGTCAGTCCCCACGGCACATCCGCACCTATGGATGGGCAGGAGGGTGGGGAGGCCTAGCGAGGCTTCCCCTGGGGGGTTTCCACTAGGGGTGCAACGGGACCCTGAAGGGACTGAGAGACAGAGTGAGTTGCCACGGTGTCAGGCACCTTTGCTGGTGGCCCAGAAAAGCAGGAAGAGCTGGAAAAAAGGCCCTGGGATTTGAGAAGATCCCTCCTGGTGAGGATTCCCCTATGCATCCCAGCTCCTGGGGGGGACCCGGGGGGCGACTGCTGCCACTTCATACAACACTACAAACAAGCGGTGGAAGGGCTGGTGAGGATCCAGGCTGCCATCCTGCAGCCACGCAGGACTGGGCACTATTTCAGACCAGGAGTATGGTCGCTCCAGAGGTTTTGGACAGCAGCATTGCCCAACTGCAAACGCCCAGCTGGGTGGTCTCAGAGCACAGGGGACATAGGGCCACATCACCATGGTGCCACCAGCCCCGTTGCCCTCCCGGCCAGCCAGTAGCCCTGGCGTGCTGGCCCTGATGTTTCGGATGATGGCAGAAGGCAGGGCATCCCTGGGGATGGGGGGACCTACTTAGATGCCTCTCTCTTGCAGACCTCAGTGACCAACTCTTGGAGGTGGTGGGGCTGGAAGGAGCAATGGAGATGGGGCAGATCTACACGGGGCTGAAGAGCGCTGGGAAGAGACTGGCTCAGTGTTCATCCGTCACCATCAGGTATTTGTCCCTGTCTCAGCTGAGTGCCCATCTGATGGCAAAAGCTGGCGCCTGTGTCACTCTGCATTCCCTCTCTTTGTACCTTGCAGGACCTCCAAGCTGCTGCCCATGCAGGTGGACGGGGAGCCCTGGATGCAGCCGGCCTGCACTGTGAGTCCCCAGGGAGGGGGCAGCTCCCATGAGGGCAGGAGCTGGCAGCACGGTGGGATGGGGCAGGCAGGGGCTGGCAGCACAGCAGACAAAGCCTCTGGAGTTGGAGGCAGAGCCATCTGGCCTGGCTGTCCCTTACTGAGCTGGGTTTTTCACTTCTTTTTAGGTCAAAATTACACACAAAAGCCAAGTGCCGATGCTGCTGGGGCCCCCACAGAAGAGCAGCTTCTTCTTCCTGAAGAGGAAAAACCGAACTCGAGATTAAGCAGCGTGCAAGGAGCCGTGGCCCAGAGGCACCCAGCACCCCGGGCACCCGCCTGCTGTGGGGGGTCCCCAAATCCCCACTTTGCAACAGGGCGGGAAAACACCCCCCCCAAGTGTGGCGAGGATGATTTGTCCTGGGAAGGTCTTGGAGGCTCCTCCCCAACCACCACAAGCATCTTCTCCGTCCAGGATGGAACCAGTGGACAAAGGCAGGCCTACGTGCGGGGAGCACATTCGTCGGAGCAGCACTAGGACGTAGGGGGAGATTTCCCTTTATTTAAATACACCCCCCCCCGGCCCACCCCGGCAGAGCTGCAAGTGAACGTGCTTCCGCGAAAACGCCGAGCTTCACTTATTTATTTTGAATCCTCTTGAAGGACACTCAATGTTTTGCTGCGCTGGCTTTCTGTCCACCAGCCCTTGGAGAAGTTGTTTATTTTCTTAGCCTCGAGGAGCTGGTCTGTGCCATGCCTTCAGCTGGCGTTCCTGGGGTGGTGTTCAGCAGATGCAGAGACACCCTTCGCTGCCAGCCCTGGGAGCCATCGGTGTGGGACAGGCTGGGGACAGACTGGGCTACAGGGACAAATGTGGGGTAGATGGGAGGAGGCGGTGTTTTCTCATGGAAATGGCAAAAAAGGGATTTTGGGGGGAGCTGTTAACCCTGGGAAGCCTCCGCACCCCAGCTCTGGGCTTCGTGTTCATATTTATGTATTTATTTAGCAAACTTGGAGGGGGACTTTGGGAACCTTTTCATGAGCCCGGGTTAGATGCAAACACCACCTCCTTTCTCTGCCGGCTGTGCCCCACAGCACCTCCTTCCACGTGGACTTTCCTCTCTTCTAAAGCCTGCCAGCCTGCGCCGGGGGCTGGTGACCCTGGGAACAGACATCCAGAAGCTCTTCTCACTTGGAATTGTCCCCCTTTGCCTTTTTACACGTCTCCCCCTGTACTTTGCCCGGACAATGCTTTCCCAGTGGTGGCCAGTGCTGCCTCTGATGCTCCCGGATGGCTGCAGGGAGCAGGGGAGAGCTGTTGCACCTCAGTTTCTGCACAGCCAGGTCTCCCCCTGACCCACCCCAAAGCCAGGGAGCTTTGCAGATGCCACGGCTTGCATGGGTACCTGCTGCTCGCCAGCCGGCTACTCCTTTTCTTCTTGCCCGACCAGCTGCTGGAGCCCAGATGTGTGGGCAGGTTTTGGTGGCATCACCCAGGTCTCCCCCACCAGGTGCATGGGGACACACCATGGGGCACAGCTTCTCCCCAGGATGCGAAGGGGACCAGAAAATGGATGGATGCATGGAGGCTGTGGGGGTCTGGATTTGTGCGCCATTTCGTGGCACTCCCAGGAGCTGGGAGTTGGCAGGACCAGGCAAGGAAAGGGCTGCTGGTTGTTTCTGCAGGTACCCACTGCCTCCTGTGGTGTCTGTTTGGGGGGGGACACCCAGTTCCCGAATCAGCCCCCGCTCTCAAGCAGCTCCCTCCGGTCTGGCAGAGGCCCCTGTGCCGCTGTGAGGAAGCCAGGAGCAGTATGTGCCCTATGGATGTCACCACAGGCAGGAAAAGTGCTGCTTGTCCCTGCTCTGCCCCTGCCAGAGGGCAGGGAGTCCTGCCTGGGACAAGCAATCCCGTCCTCCCTGGTGACTCCACACCCAGTCTCTCCTCATGCTGCAGGTCCCCATTCAATTACATCCTCCTGGCAGTACAGGTGCTGCTGCCGTCCTTATGTTTCAGAGTGAACAGTGAGCTGAAGGGGAGTTGTTGTCAGCCTCCCCAGGCAGGGACAGTGCTGTTGTTCAAGATGCTGATGCGGGAGGAGGCGGTGGCACCCCAAGAAGACCCAGCTGGGCTCCAGTCTACTGGTGCCCCTCAGCTGGGCACAGGAGGAGGCTCTGGTGGGCCATTCCCTCTCCCGCCCTCAGCAGCGGCACCAGGCAGGCTGAGGGTGAGCTGGGGGCACATGCTCACTGCCATGCAATTCCCAGGGATGTACTCCCAGGAGAGCACCGGCAGAGCTGGGAGCAGGGGCCCTGCACCGTGGAGGCCAGTGGGCACAGAGGTCATCGCAGCTTGCCAGAGCCGTGACCTGCGTACGTGGGCACGCTCCACCCGCAGTGCGTAAATCCACCCTCCTCCTCACTACCCAGGGCAGCTGTTAATGAGTAGCCAGGTGAAAACATACAGGAGCTAAGCCAAATAAACCTCAACCACCTCCAGAGCTTTGCTGGCAAGCAGGGTGGTGGGTTGTATCCGTGGGTTGACAACACCTGAGGTCAGCAGCATTTATAGCAGCAGGTTTGGCTCTGTTTCCCTGCCTGCTTGGCCTTGACCCAGGGTTTTATCCCAGGGCTCAGGTCAGAAAATGCCTGCATGGAATCAGCAATGGTTTTCAAGGAGCAGACGTGCTCCTTGCACCCAATCATGGTTTGCCGGGCTCTGGGCAAAGAGCAGCACTCGGGTGTCTGCTGTGGTCTGTGGCCGGAGGTGTCAGAGCTGGGGCAAGCACGCGGGCACCCGTGCCTGCACCCATGGGTCCAGCAGCGTGCCGGGAGCAAGGAGTGCTTGTTTGAGCTCAGAGCCAGCAGCGAGAACTCAGACACGGGGAGCCCAGGACCACCATCTGGGGCAAGCGGGATAATGACACACCAGCACCGGTTTGCCAAAAGCCACAGGCTCTGATGGAGTCCCCGTCTGAGGAGCAGTGAGATGGTGGCTGCCACCTCCCACTGTGCCAAAGCCACGGTTCAACGGGTCGGGTAGTGAACCACCTCCTTAGTCCAATGGTGCAAAGGTCTCCAGCCCAGGGGGGGACCACAGCTGCTGGAACGTCAGCCTGGCTGTCCCCAGCTCCAGGGAGGAATACACCACACAGCTGAGGGGCACTCGAGGCTCTGAACCCCCTGTGCTCTTCCGTGTCTCCCAGCTCACCCCATTGTGTCCTCTGAAGGCCGCAGGATGGACCAGGAGCCCCCAAACATCCCCCAGGCACTGGTGCCAGTGCGTATGTGCCCCGCTGAGTCGGCACCGTGCTGGGGGATCCCTGAGATCTGGGGGACCCCATTTCCGTGGGAGCCCCAGCCCAATGCCAGCCCCGTCCTTCCACTGTGTGCGTAGCCGTGGTTGCCTGCATGGAAATGGCGTCCGTAGCGTAGCGCGTGTTGCTGTGTACACCCGGGCTGCTGTGGGCTTGCCTCAAATAAAGATGGTGATGACATACTCGGCTGGTCCTGGGGTGCGCTGGGGTTCCCCACTTCCTGCCCAGGCGTGGGGTCCCCACCTCTGGGAACTCAAACAGGAGGTGCCCGATTTGGGGTGCTGTGGCTGAAGGGGCATTGGCAGCGGCAACACGATGGAGCGGCGCTCAGCAGGAGCTGCCACCGGCTAAATTTGGAGCCTGCAATCTTTTTAATTTTTTTCCCTGAGTGGGCTCTAAATTTAGCAGGCACCGGTTGCCATCCCCCCTCACAGCTCTCCAGGGGCTTTGGCTTTTCCTAAGACATCCCTGTGGCCTCCCACCCTCCTGTCCCATGGCTGTGCTCAGCCCCTCATTGTCTCTCCGTTTGCCAGGTGGCAGCAAAAGGCCCAGCAGCACTCAGCAGCGGACACCTTGTGTTGCTGGTTGTGCCCAGCTCTGCGATGACCTGCAGCCCGCCTTGCTCCCCCAGCCCAGGTTTTGCCACCAGCCCACCCTGTGTGTCATCTGCTAATTTTACCAGTGGTGATTTAATCCTGGTTGCCTGTGTGCAGAGGGGAAGTGAGAGTGTCAGTGCCTGCAGAGCCCCCCGGGAACGTTCCTCGGGCAGCAAGGACACCCCGTGCCCTCCGCGTGCTTCCCCCCTAGCATGCAGGCACCTCCCCTTGCCATTTCACCCAGGACATGATGGGAGACAAGCTATGTGACATTACCAGCGTCATCCCTGCGGAATGGTGGTGGCCCTGGAGGACTCTGGAAGCTCATCAGTACCCCGGCACTGACAGAGAAATTCCTACCAGCAGCCCAGAGACAGGCTGGGCAGCTCTCCCAGGACACTGGCAAGCCCGTGACCTGAGGCTGAGGATTTCAAAATGGTCAGGACAATCCCATCCCAACAGGCTTCCTAGCCCCTGGGCATCTTCCCAGGACCCGAGAAGAAGGCTCCTCTCCTTCCCAAGCTGAGAACAACAGTATTTAATTGAGAATTATCCTTTGTTTTTCCCTTCTCCAGCAATAATTTACCAGTCTCACTCACAACAATGCGAGTCCTCCACACAGTTAATTTATCCTGGGCAAACTGCTGAGCCCTCTGTGAGCTGCCACTGGCAGGTCCCCATGGCAGGTTTCACCACCTGCAGTTACAGATGGGGAAACTGAGGCACCTGGCAGAGCAATCCGGGGATGGGGGGGGAGGGGCAGGCAGGCCCCCAGTAGCATGGCTCTGTCTGAAACTCATTCCCAATCCTCTGAGATATTTGGAGTCCTGCAAGGGCTTGTGTCCACAAACACATTTGGAGGGATCCCTGGCCAGGGCAGCCCCACAGCCTCTGGGGGTGGGAACTGTTTTTCCTACGTCCCTCTCCAAAGAGCCCTTCCCAAAGGCAAACCCAGCTCCGGCGTGCGGGTGGGGGAGAGGCTGCCAAAGCCAGCGCTCAGGCGTGAGTTAGCCCCAGGCTCACAAGGGGACGGGACCCCTTGCTGCTGCGAAACCATCTCCCGAGAAAGCAGAGGATCCCATGGCACGTGAGGCCTGGGGTCCACCCCATCTGCTAAGTTTTCAGGGCGGTAGGTTCCTGGGCACGGCGTGCAGGGAGCAGGTTCCCCC